ATAAGATGGCAGAATGAATTCCATTGAAATTGATATCTATTTGTAAATAATAAACAATTGAGCATCCAATTGGATTCATTGCACTTTTTCTACAAAAACAACACCAAAGGGACTTCTTGAGGCATTGACACCCCTAATAACCATAATGATGCCGTCATATGTTTTTCGTCTTTGTCTGATGCTTCTCCACCCTGCTGCACCTGTTCTTTCTCTTTTTTTACATTGTTTGCATGTCTGCTTCGCATCTTTGGCATTCACATTCTTTTCTCGCCCGCTACCCACAACCCCCACCTAATAGTGGGCACATACACATATTTTCTTTAGGCTTTTCTTATTACAAAATTTGATTGATTTTTGTAAATAATTCAATTATTACAATGATGCAATGCTCTCTCGCGACAAACAAAACAATTTACTCTTTCACTTGAATGACCAGAAACGGTTCGATTTATGCGACGATTTGTAATGGTGTTTCGCCACAATTTGTTTTCGTTTGTCTTGTGGCCTCTTGATTACTTCGGCTGGCTGGCTGGCTGCTGCAGCACCTTCAAATAACATCATCCCAATGGGGAGAGACAAACATGTGTACATGGCTGCTGTGCACTTCCCCCAACAACCCATTGATGACAATTTTATTATTGCAACACCTCGTCTCGCCGGTTGCGGTTTCAAAGAGAATATGCAAAGAGTGGAAATGAAGTAAAATAAACAAAACAAAAAGTAAAACAACAATTGCATGGGTACATAGCGTTCGTGATAACATAACAGAACAGCACCATTTTTCCTGGAAATTTTAAAGAAGATGTTAGCGAAATGTAAAATAAACCGTGTGGCTAACATGAAATGTTATTGAAATTTGGTAATGTTTTGGTATCACCAAGTTTACAGGGATTTGACAATAACATGTCTATGTAACCATATAACATATTTTTAACATAGAACATATGGGACACTTCATGTGTTGATGGTTTTAACAGCGGTGCTCAAGAAAAAATATCTCTTTTCAGTCAAATTTCTGTTTTGCTTATTTAAATCAAGAACAGAACAGTGTTAAGTCATCATTTACAAATATTTTTTATCCATTTGCTTTATAAATTATTTCGGCAAACAATTGTGTTTAAAAACAATTAAATAAAACCGTAAAATATAAAGAAAAACTGAATTTTAATTTTCTCTTAAATTATCTCTTTTTTCTCTTCATGTTCTAGAACACGGTTTTGAGTACCGCTGGTTTTAACATAGATGGGAGAAAACAATGAAAGAGAAATAATTAAGAAAATTTTGAAATAAGTTTCCTGCGTTGAATTATTGCATACTTAATAATATTTAAAGAATAAGATAATCCAAATTAGCTCAAAAATGATTTTATAGAAAAATATATTGAAAATTATTCGTATTTGTCTGTTAATTGATGTTTCACTAATGACAGAGAATAAGCAGCACTGCTCAAAACCGTGTGGTAGCACATGTGTCCAAAAAAGAAAAAAGATTTTTCTTTATATTAATCAGCGCTGCTGAAAAACAAGATCTCGTCTACCGATTACCAATTTCTTTTAGTTTTTTTTAATCACCAAAAAACCAGTGTTAACGCATTTTTGGTAAAAATTCACTTTATTAGAAATTTGGACAACATCCAAGTTAAAACACAATTGAAATGAATGGATAAATATAAAGAAAAATGAAATTTTTGTTCTCTTAAATCATTTTTTTTGGACTCATGTGCTAGCATACGGTTTTTAGCAGTGCTGAATAAGAGACATCAACGCATTGTGTCTAGGATGGCTGGTATTGTAAATGAGATATATCGGTCCACCTTCTAATATTCCGTATTTTGATGATTTTTGCCAATTTTTTCCACGGAATTGTTCCAAATTTGCCATAAAGAGTTTATAACGGGTTCTAGCTTTGGTGACAGAATATTGTCTGTTAAGGTCCACGCCTTACTATAGCACCCCATACCTTCAAATGTTGTTTGTTCTTACGATTCAAGTTACATTTTCTAACGGAATTGTCTATAATTTGGTATTTGTATCATAATGGGTCCTAGCTCCGGTGGCAAAACATTGTGTATATAGATCCATGATTTCCTACAGAGCCACCCCATATTAGGTATTTTAATCATTTTAGCCAGATTTTTCTAGATTTGTATACCCTCAGTCATATGGTTAGAGAGGATATGTATCATTTGATACGGCCAAAACGTGCCTCATCGAAATAAAAAAAAATTAGATCGAGTTCGGAGACGGACAATATCGACTTTAATAAAATGTGATGTAAGAGTCCGATTGTCTTCACATTATATACATCAGAATATTTTTATTAACCCAAGCTCTGTGAAGAAAATTGTGAAAAGATCATTTTGATTAGGCACGGTTTGGCCTTATAATGGTAAATACCCTTAAAAGTACTTTAAAGTCTTTCTTAAAATCTATCGCTTGCCACCTTTGGGTCCTCCATAGTAGAGGTGACTAACAAGCCAAATTTTGGAACTTTGACCCGACCGCTCCGCATTTATTAGTTGATTGAAAAAAACGATTTTTTGCGACACTTTGACGTAGTTGGAAGGACTGACTTCGTTTTAGTAAAACTTTCCAAAAACAACCTGCTGAAGTTCTCTACTTACCTTTGAGTATATATCTTACCTATAAATTATAAATTTTCAAAAATCCTATCTTATCTTAATCAAAAGTGATTCCTATGTATAATTTCTTTTATCGATTATTGGAGAATTAAGACCCTATTAATACACTGTATTTTCAAAGTTCTGGAAATCCTGCTACCTAACCCCTACACATGTAAAAATTTGTATATTTTAAAATTCGCTCTGTATTGAGTTATGTTGATCCTTTAAATACGCATTATCTCACACTAACAGGGTGAGATGAAAAAAAACTGCAAACAACTTCAGACTGCTGTCATTTCCAAGCCACTCATCCGAAAGCTGTTAAAAATGATTCTAGTGACAGCTCATTATATTGTTTACAAGCGTACAAACGCATTTTGGTAAGAATTTTCCTCAAAAAAGTTATTCGTGATGGAATTCAAGCGTGATAGTGTGATTTCTTTATATTTCGCTGGCAAACAACAATGTGCTATCGTTAGAGCACTCCAGAATTTAAATGTGAATAAATATTTTGTGTCTCGTACCATCGCTCGCTGGTAGCGTAGCCCGACGTTAGGGAAGTGGACGGACAAAACAACAACATCAGCAGAAATGGTTCGACAAGTAAAGAAGCGACTTGATCGAAATCCGCGTCGCAGTGGCCGAAAAATGACTTGTGAGCTCAACATATCACAATATTCCCTTCGGTAAATATTGAAAAATGAGCTCAGGGTAAAGCAATTGAAATTCCAAAACCTGCAAGAACTTACACTGCAACAGAAGGAAAATAGACTCAAAAGAGCTAAAGATTTGCTTCCCTTGGCCGAAAGTGGTGAACTGTCTAAATTGGCTTTCTCCGATGAAAAAACATTCGTTGTCTAGCAGTTTGTAAATAAACAAAATGATCTTGTTTACTTGCCAAAGAGGCCAGCTGAAAATGTGCACTTTCGGTTGGCCATCAGACTCAAACGCCGGCCATGATGATGGTGCGGGCCGCCATAACAGCCGACGGTCGCTCTCCGCTCGTATTATTCGAAAGTGGTATCAGAATAAACGCCGAATATTATCGTGAAAATATTTTGGAGGATGCATTAAAGCCTTGCGCACGCAAACATTTTGACCTCAGACCTTGAACATTCCAACAGGACTTAGCACCATCGCACTCAGCACGCGCCACCCAAGAATGGTTACAAAATGAGGTTCCTCGCTTCATTTCCAGTCCACAATGGCCACCAAAACACCAATCCGTTAAACTATTGTGTCAGGAGTATTTTGGAAAGCAAGGTTGGGCCAAGATACTGCAGAGCAACATTCGGGCAGCGTGTGACGTTTCATTGTCCGTTTGAAGGCCATAACTCGTGCCAAAGTTGACCAATTCGAACAAATCTCAACATATTCTAAAATTTGATGCTACTTCCGACTTTTTTGTTTTTAACTTAAAAAAAATTAAAAATAAAATTAAATAGTCAACCGAATTTTTCCATTTGGCGAAACTCGGTCCAATATACAGCAATGTTATTTGGTACTAGAGGTTCAAAAGCCTCCGTCAAATTTGTGGAAAATCGATTCAGAGTTGGATATAGTTCCCAAATTGTGACAACTCTAAAGTCATAATACGCATTCAAACAAGGTTCATGGTTGGTATGATCTTCATATAAATTCCCAATATAAACTCTGTGTAGGGTATCATATGGTGGGCCCTGACCAACAACCTAAAATGTCAGACTATTTAGTTCATTAAAGTTAAAATTTCAAAAACTATAACTTTGACATAACTTAGTATACCCACAAATCAGAGTTGGGAAACTGTTTTCAATAATTTTTTTTTTTTTTTTTTTTTGACAAATTAAATTTCGGGAAAATGCAGATCTGTATATTGTTATTTGAAATTAGGTCACTTTGATTTATTTATACCATGAGTGACCTCATTTACAATTTCAATGCTGTAATCGTTCAATGTGGTGCCATTTTGTACCGTTTCCTACCTTTCATACCTTAAAAGTACGGATTTTCAAAAAATCCAATCTTAACCCTTATGTCATTTTTTAAGATCTTAGATTCCCTTTAACGTCCTCGAAATTTCTCTCTTTGAGGTCTTAATTAAACGTAGAGCGATATTAAATATTTTTGTAGATTTTATTATTTTAAAAATTTTTTTCCAAATTAAATCCATATCCATCTGCAATCATTTTTTTGTCCATAAAATTATAAATTTAAGAAAATATTCTTATATGGACAACTTCTTTTTGTCACTTAACGTCTTAGTTAAACTTACAACTTCAATTACTTTGTTTGATTTATTGAGAATAAAAATTGAATAGTTCAAGCAAAACTCGCAAGTACTTACCAACAAATCCCCACCCAAAAGCCCCAATAAAAAATTCAACTTCTCCACAACTCCAGGGTTTTACTTAAAAATATCCTTTCACGTTTTATTTTCTCCGTTTATTCAAAATAAATAATACATCCACATTTATGGTTTGTTTTTTCCTCTGTGTGTGTTTTTCTTTTCTTTTTTTCACTTACATTTAATAAACTTTTATTTCGCTTTACTTCTTCATTATTTTCTTTGCTTCAGCTTATCATTGGTTTACCACTACGATTTTTTTTGTTTTTTTTTTTTTTTTTTATTTTCTTTAAGAACTACTGGATTTTCTGGGATTTTCTTATCATTTTTTTTTTGTTTTTGTTTTTTGGAAATTTTACAAAAATAGCTTAAGAAACACAGTAAACAAAGGAGGTGAGGAAAAAACCATAAAAAATTCATTTATTATTATAAACTACTAAAACTAGAAAAAAAAAAAACACTACAAAAACACATGACTACTTTAAAATAAAAAAAAAACATTTTTTTTTCCAAGGAGCTGTTGGATGGTGCAGCAGCACCAACTCCAAACTCCCCCGGACCCTAATAAACGATGGAATGTGCAGCTTAAGATTACTTGGTATTCCAAAGAAAGAAAGAACGAAACGAAGAAACATTTCTATTTGACTACGGCGAAAAATATGCTGGTGATGATGAGATGATGATAATGTCCTTTCCGCAGGGGCCAGGCCTGGCCAAGCCAGTGACACATGCATGTTGTGTTGGCCAGCTCTGGCATCCGGTTCTGTGTGTGACACTCAATTTGCTCAACAAAGAGTTGGCTGGTCTCTTTGTAAGAGAAATAAAAAAATATTTTTTTTTTATTTTTCCATATTTTTTTTTTTTTTTTGTTTGTTGTTATCTTCTTGAGGCAAAGCTACAGCATGTTTTTGTTTTGACTTATTCTTAAATGTTTGTTTACTCTTATTCTGCTTCTTCTTATTCTTGTTATTACGCTGATTATTTTTTTTCGTCGTATAAAACGTTGCCAGATGTTTGCATACTTATGATGTAAGTGATTGAGTGTGTTGTTGTATGTTTGTATGTGTGTATGAATTTTAGACAAAAAGCCAAAGAAAAGCCCAGTTTGGCTTTTGTTTTGTTTTCTTTTTTCTTCATTTATTTTTGTTTTACTAAAAAGCGCGTTTTTTCAAAATCTCATTCTTCTTCATCTTCGTCGTCGTCGTCATCATCATTGATTGGTTTCATTCTTCTTTCTGCATTTCTTTAATTTCTTCTCTTCCATTTCCTCTTCCACTTTATCTTTATCTTATTCATCATCGATTTTCAGTTACAAACATAAATTTTGGTTTCTTATGATACTCATCCATTTATGGATAGACTTAGAACTGTTGGTTGAAAAAAAGAGAAAAAAAAGAAAATAAATTATCAATTACCACGTCCCTGGTTCCACATGGTCCACAATTCCCAGCCAGCCATGCCAACTTACCTTAACAAACAAAAACATTCATCTACTTGGGTGCTAAAGGATGTAAAAATTGTGTATAGGCAGCCCCATTGGGTGAGGCAGCTGTACTCAATGCCTGGTCAGAGGAATCTGTCATAGGTATGGTAGGAATCATTGGAGGAGCATAATAGGGATATGAGGGACTTATATACTGGAAATTCATGAAATAAAAGAGAAGAACAAAATATGAAGAGAAAAGAGATCCGGTTAATTGTTGTAGGTGTTTTTATGGGTGTGAGTGTGTTGAAAGAGAAAATGAAATTTAAATTTAATTATTTGAAAGATATAATAAATCAATTTGTTAAGAATTTATAAAATCGAATGACTCTTTTAATCACCTGTAAAGGACCCATGGGTGGCATCATAGCTCCATATGGCATTACGGCCTCCGAACCATTCAAATACATTCCTGGACCCTGTAGGGTATTCACTAGATCGGTTTTATATGGCGAAACGCTCAAATGTTGTGGTGAAGAAGCCAATTGTAAATACTGCAAAGAAAGGGAAAGAGTAAAATAAATTAAAAAATTATAAAAAAAGCTGTTAAGGTCGATGTTTCATCGGTAAAGAAAAGAAACCTATTGCAATCACGTTTGAAAATCGCGGGTTTTGGTATTCAAACTGTAAATTAAATTTCTTGGAAAAATCTTTTTACCAACCAAGGGCTTGGAATATCATATTTCAGACAGTTCGATTGAGAAATCTTATCGATCACTTTCTTTCTCTCTTGGTTAGGTTGCTAACAGGATTGGTATAAAATACTGAAATTATTCCCTTAAAAATCATCAGTATTCGTATGCAAAATTTGGAGATCCGAAATAGTTGACCCATGCAACCAATCCATCTTCCAACAGGTTTCGAAGCATGTTTGCGAAATTGCAGAAATCGATGTACCTAATTTGGTCCAAAATAAATATTACACATTGTGGAAGAGGGTATAAAAACAATTAAAAAAGTATCGGTCGGTTTTGCAGACAGATGTACATTTTAAAATATTTTGACTTCTGTTATGAATTTTCAAACTCTTGACCCTCTATGGAGTGTGTTTGGGACAAAAGGGTCAATATTGTCCATATCGTATCGGACCTAAATAAGTATAATATAAATAATTTTATAAATATATAAGAATAATTTATGGAAAATCTTAAATTCCATATTCATCTCAGGATTCTGATTGAGAGACATATATTTAGATATAGCAAGTTGTAAAAAATCACTAAGTTGTTTCGCAATTTTTGACAGATAAAAGTATTGAAAACTTTGTCCCTTTGTGGGTGAGGTACCATAAGGGGTTCACAGATCTTGTGTTAGCAATGATGCTTGTTTGTGTGAAATTTGAAGAGAGTTGGATGTTTATTTCGCTTTCTTTGAGCGTTGTTTTTTTCAAAATTTTGAACCCTATGTGGAGCAGGTAGCAAAAATATGGTCCGGTCTCTACCATCTCTATGACACATATTGTGTTGATGGAAATATTGAGAAATTTTGGCGCGAGACCTAGAAATATTAGGATTTGCAAAATGATTATTGCTTCCCTTTCTGTGCAGAAAATATTTTTTTTTTTTTTTTTGGAAATTTCGACCACTTGTGAGGGCGGTACAAGAAGGAGTGGACCGATTTTGCCCACCTTAACACCAGATCTAGGGTTAACATAAATATTGGGATGTGTGAAATTTGAAGTCAATCGGACCCTTACATCACATTTTATAAGAGTTGTAATTATTCAAAATTGTGACCATTTGTGGGGGAGGTACTTGATGGAGGGGACCGATATTGTCCATTTTCTCACCTGACCTACCACTGACGTAAATATTAGAATTTGCAAAGTTGTGGCAAAATCGGATTATCCTTTATCTTTCCCCGCAAAAAATATATTTTTTGAAAATTTCGACCATTTGTGGGGGAGGTACCAGAAGGAGTGGACCGATATTGCCCATCTCCGAACTCGATCTAAGTTTGATAAAAATATTACGATGTACGCATCGTCGAGAGTTATCGTGCGCACGACCAAGACTGACGAACGGACGGACATCGCTAAATCGACTACAAATGTTCTGAAACGGATTTGGTCCAAAGAGACCTAGGGTCTAAAACCGTTATTTCGACTAGGCACGTTTTGACCGTATCAAATTGTATATACCCTCTGTAGCCATATGGCGGAGGGTATAATGAATATATGAAATGTTATTCGTCAAGCCCAAAGCAAAATACACACATATAGTGCAATGGACTCCACTTCAGGGTAAGTAAGAATAGTACAAATGTGAGGTAAGAGCAGATACTTGAATGCCAAATTGTTTAAATAAGAGGTGAACAACACACATAGCTCTGTCACACACCAATTGCATTTATCAAATCTCTTAAACCAGACTTCAGAAACACGAAGTCATGTGACACTTTCAATATTTTCGGACGGGCCGACTATATGATGTCCTAAACAACTATGCACTTCTAGTAGAGCCGAACTTTTAATATATATAAAAACAATTAAAAAAGTATCGGTCGGTTTTGCAGACAGATGTACATTTTAAATATTTTGACTTCTGTTATGAATTTTCAAACTCTTGACCCTCTATGGAGTGTGTTTGGGACAAAAGGGTCAATATTGTCCATATCGTATCGGACCTAAATAAGTATAATATAAATAATTTTATAAATATATAAGAATAATTTATGGAAAATCTTAAATTCCATATTCATCTCAGGATTCTGATTGAGAGACATATATTTAGATATAGCAAGTTGTAAAAAATCACTAAGTTGTTTCGCAATTTTTGACAGATAAAAGTATTGAAAACTTTGTCCCTTTGTGGGTGAGGTACCATAAGGGGTTCACAGATCTTGTGTTAGCAATGATGCTTGTTTGTGTGAAATTTGAAGAGAGTTGGATGTTTATTTCGCTTTCTTTGAGCGTTGTTTTTTTCAAAATTTTGAACCCTATGTGGAGCAGGTAGCAAAAATATGGTCCGGTCTCTACCATCTCTATGACACATATTGTGTTGATGGAAATATTGAGAAATTTTGGCGCGAGACCTAGAAATATTAGGATTTGCAAAATGATTATTGCTTCCCTTTCTGTGCAGAAAATATTTTTTTTTTTTTTTTTGGAAATTTCGACCACTTGTGAGGGCGGTACAAGAAGGAGTGGACCGATTTTGCCCACCTTAACACCAGATCTAGGGTTAACATAAATATTGGGATGTGTGAAATTTGAAGTCAATCGGACCCTTACATCACATTTTATAAGAGTTGTAATTATTCAAAATTGTGACCATTTGTGGGGGAGGTACTTGATGGAGGGGACCGATATTGTCCATTTTCTCACCTGACCTACCACTGACGTAAATATTAGAATTTGCAAAGTTGTGGCAAAATCGGATTATCCTTTATCTTTCCCCGCAAAAAATATATTTTTTGAAAATTTCGACCATTTGTGGGGGAGGGTACCAGAAGGAGTGGACCGATATTGCCCATCTCCGAACTCGATCTAAGTTTGATAAAAATATTACGATGTACGCATCGTCGAGAGTTATCGTGCGCACGACCAAGACTGACGAACGGACGGACATCGCTAAATCGACTACAAATGTTCTGAAACGGATTTGGTCCAAAGAGACCTAGGGTCTAAAACCGTTATTTCGACTAGGCACGTTTTGACCGTATCAAATTGTATATACCCTCTGTAGCCATATGGCGGAGGGTATAATGAATATATGAAATGTTATTCGTCAAGCCCAAAGCAAAATACACACATATAGTGCAATGGACTCCACTTCAGGGTAAGTAAGAATAGTACAAATGTGAGGTAAGAGCAGATACTTGAATGCCAAATTGTTTAAATAAGAGGTGAACAACACACATAGCTCTGTCACACACCAATTGCATTTATCAAATCTCTTAAACCAGACTTCAGAAACACGAAGTCATGTGACACTTTCAATATTTTCGGACGGGCCGACTATATGATGTCCTAAACAACTATGCACTTCTAGTAGAGCCGAACTTTTAATACCCCCAATATTAGGAAGGAAATTGCAAAATAATAACGTTTGAAAATTCTGAATATCATGTCTTACAGTTATATGGGGTTTAAAGAAAACGTGGACCACTATAATCAATTATCTGACAGCGAGAAAGGTGCCAATTACAAACTACAAATACCAAGTTTGAGATAATTCTGTTGGAAAATGTAGCTAAAATCATTAAAATACCGAATGATACAGTTATACGGGAGCTTATGCCCAGTCAATTTTTGTCATAGGAAGTTGTACCCATTGCGATTTTCCAAATTTAAAATAGTTTCATTGAAAAGTGAAGCTAAAATCATTAAAATACCAAATATTGGGAGGTACTGTTATATGGTGCCATACAAAGACATGGACCTATATATGCCATTTTCTCTCAGTGGAAGTAGTATTCATTACGAACTTCAAATACCAAATTTGGATCTTGGTGGAAATGTGACACAAATCATCGAAATACCAGGGAACGATATCTAAACTTGGATCCACATGTACAGCTCTCTGCAAAATAGACAGAGGGACGGACATGGCTAAATCGATATAGAGCAAGAATGTTTATACTTTGTGGGGTCGAAAATATTTATTTCGAGGAGTTACAAATGGAATGACAAACTTAATATACTTCCCATACTACGGTGTAGGGCATACAAATGTAAATCAGAGCTATAGATATAAAGGAAGTGAGTTTAACAAATGTCGTATTTGCTTCCATCATAAATCTGGTTGAATGTTCAAAAATGCACAAAAACGTGAAAACGGATGGAGACATATATGGAAGCTTTATCTAAATCTGAGCCAATTTCAATAAAAGTTGGCAGAAAAAAAACAAAGTCAAACGCCATACTTTTTAGATTTTTTTTTTAATTTGATTGAATGAAAGCAAAAAACGTCGGAAATAGCATCGAATTTTAGAATAAGTTTAAGTTTGTTCGAATTGGTCACCTTTGGCACGAATTATGACCTTCAAACGGTCAATGAAACCGTCACACGCTGCCCGAATGTTGCTCTGCGGTATTTTGGCCCATTCCCGGCGAAGCGCTTGCTTGAGGTGATCGACACATTGGTATTTTTTAGTGCCAACCTTGCTTTCCAAAATACTCCAGACACAATAGTCCAACGGATTGGTATCGGGAGATTTTTGTGGCCATTGTGCGGTGGAAATGCAGCGAGGAACCTCATTTTGAAACCATTCTAGGGTGGCGCATGCAGAGTGCGATGGTGCTGAGTCCTGTTGGAATGTCCAAGGTCTGCGGCCAAAATGTTAGCGTGCCCAAAGCTTTAATACACCATCCAGAATGTTTCCGCACGGTCGATTAATACGACCGGAAAGCGACCATCAGCTGTTATGGCGGCCCACACCATTACCATGGTCGGCACATGAGTTCTGGTGGCCAACCGAAGGTCCACATTTTCAGCTGGCAAGTGAACAAGATCATTTTGTTTGTTTACAAACCGCTGGACAACGAATGTTTTCTCATCGGAGGAAAACCAAATTCGGCAGTTCACCACTTTCGGCCAAGCAAAGAAACTCTTTAGCTCTTTTGAGTCTATCTTCTTTGTGTTGCCGTGTGAGTTCTTGCACGTTTTGGAATTTCAATGGCTTTGTCCCGAGCTCATTTTTCAATATTTGTCGAATGGAATATTGCGATATGTTCAGCTCACGAGCCATTTTTTGGCCATTTCGACGCGGTTTTCGATCAAGTCGCTTCTTTGCTTTTCAAACCATTTCTGCTGATCGAACCATTTCGAGCGATGGTACAAGACACAAAAGATTTATTTTTGTTTTTTCTTATATTTAAATGCAGGAGTGCTCTAACGATACCCTCTTGTGGTTTTCCAGCCAAATATAAAGAAATCACACTATCACCCTTAAATTCCATTACGAATAACTTGTTTTCTGAAAAATTCTCACTGAAATGCTTTTGTACGCTTGTTAACAATATAATGAGCTGTCACTGGAATAATTTTAACAGCTGTCGGAAGAGTGAATTAGAAATGACAGCAGTCTGAATTTGGTTGCAGCTTTTTCCATCTCACCCTGTATTCCAATCAAATTATAACTAATTACGGAAAAATATTTGGAATGCTTGAAGTTATACCTAAATTGATATTCCTAATTTTAATTAATTTAAATATTAATACGAATAAAAAATCAGGTATTAACATAAATTTCAAGGTCATATTTCTTGGTCCGTTGTTATTTTATGCCAATGTATTCCTTAAAGGGTATATGCGCTAGTCCTGCATATGATATTGGCTAATAATTCTAATAAATCACAATTTGTTCACTTTTTGTATTCCTTGTTAGAGTATACCCCCACATTTTTTCCTTCGAATAATAATTCACTTTCCATTACCACACTCACCTGATTCTCAAATGCTGCAGCTGGCTGTGTAGCAGTTGTAGTCATCATATAGCCCATCCATGGAGAACTAGCCAAGGGATAACTACCTATTTGGGGTGTACCAAAACGAGTATAGCCAGCTGTAGTACCATTTTGCTGAGCCCCTGGATCAGGGGTTACAGGTATACTTTCCATACCTGCTGTTCCGGCTGATATATCCAAACGCGAACGATTGTTGGGATCACGGGCTTTCAATAGATTCTTTTTGGCCGATGAGCCGCTGTCAGCGAATTTAACCACCAATGGATCGTTAGCACCCGGTATTGTAGTACCATTCAAGACTTGTATGATTTGTTCGCATTTTTCGCGATTTTCCATGCGTGCAAAGCCGACACCTGGCGAAAATACATGGAAAAAGAAATAAAAACAATCAATTGAATTATTATTTTTTTATTAAGATGCTTGTTTTTTATTGCTGTCATTAAGGGCATAGTTCCAATTACCTCGAGAATTCAATTGGGCATCACACAGAATCTTGGTCGACACCACGTGTCCGTACTTCGATAACATTTTCTCTAAATCAGTCTCTTTGAAATATGGCGGCAAATTTGTGATGTACAAATTTGTTGGATCCTGTTCTTGTTGCTGTGGTTGTTGTTGTTGTTGTCGTGGTCGATTTGTTCGTAGGTGGATGGGTGATTGGATTTTTTGGTTGGTTTGGTTTGGAGTTGTGGTGTCGATGATGTTAAAAGTTTTGTTTGTTTAGAATTTTTCAAAAATAAATTTACAGTTAGTTTAGAATCATTACAAAGTTGTATTTTGTTTACTTTTAGTTAGTTATAGTTATTGGGGTTAATAATAGAATAAATATTACGTTGGATGTTGGTAGTTAGCTACATGTGTATGTGTGTGTGTGGTTAGTATGGTGTCATTTGTATGAAGTAAGTAATGAATGTATGTATGTAGATTGTTATTATGATGTTTGCTTGTATCTACAGATATATACTACTCAACTTTTTTTTTGTATGAAAAAAAAAAACAATTGTTATCTAAGGCCGGTCCATGTCTACTCAAAATTACTTTATTTAAATCTCAGTTTCTAGGGTTTAATTTCTATAACAAAAGATACGTTGTATTTTGTTTTTAATAAATATTTTTTTAACTAGAATAGAAAACAAGACACCATACCCATTAGAGAGGGGTATTGGGTAACTGTAAATTATATTTTATTTGGAATTTTTGTGGTATTTCTTTCGAATTATTGAGACAATTAAAGAGCCTAGCTTAGACTTAATTTGGGTATGGCGTTCGTTTGAAATAATTGGAATACTGTTATAGTTTATGTATGTATATATTGAAAATCTACTGTATGAAGTACTGTTATTCACTTTTGTGATCTTTACGAATTGTCCAAGCATTTATTATTTATTTAGAATATCTTTTTATACCATCAACCATACATACTAGTATGGAGGTTATATTAAGTTCGTCATTTTGTATTTTCGGCGAAAAATTTTAGACCCAACAAAACATATATATTCTAAGACGATTTAGCCCTGTCCGTCTGTCTGTCCGTCTGTTGTAATCACGTTGAAGTCAAAACGAATAAAGACAGGAAGCTAACATTTTGCACCGATCTGTCTTTTGTCTGCAGGCAGGTCAAGTTCGAAAATGGGCTATATCGGTCCACGATATCGATTATGATGATATAAGCCCCATTTTTTTTATTGGAATCGTCTGAAATTCTACACAAGAAGTTCTTCGTGACTACTGTTCCTTCTAAAAAAGAATTGTCCACGATGTCTTATAGACCCAACCTTTAGCAACACCTTTCAATGGAATTGTCTTAAAATCCACAAAAGAAGTTCCTCGTGTGTACATTACCCCCGGAAGATAATTGTCTTATATAACGGTTCCCCTAGATATTCGGTAATTTTAGACATTTTTTTCAGTGGAATTGTCTGAAAATCCACACAAGCTGTTTCCTCTTAGTACTTTACCCCCTGGAAGATATTTTTCTATATATGTCCACGTTTTAGTATAGCACCAATATAACGGTACCCCACATATTGGGTTTTTCCATGATTTTAGCGACATTAGTCACAGGAATGGTTTTTAAATTTCGTATTCGAAGTTCGTAATGGGTACTACAACCTATGACGGAAAATTGTCTATGCTGGTCCACGTCTTTGTACAGCCGCGACACAGCGATATTTTCGACGGATTTTTTTTTTCTTTTTTTGAAAATTTCGAGTTCCTTCCGAATGGAGTAGGGTAAAGAAAGTTCGGCCCGGTCAAACTTAGCTGCATTTTTACTTGTTATATATTCGATGTCTATTATTTGCCATATTATACTTTTATAGAATATAAATTTTATCTATTCAAAAGGTAACTATTCAAAAGGTAAAATATGAATATTTTTTGTTTTTAGGAACTTGTTGTATTGTGGACAAATTTAGCACTTGCTCCAAATATTCTGCACATTTTCTAATAATTTAACCACCGGTTTTGTTGTGGAAAATTCCAAGCGGATTTGGTAGTAATCGGTTTCTAGAGTAAAATCTTAGACCAAAATAAGGGTTTATATCGGTCCAATTGTGGTATAGTTCCTAGTATTTGAGTTTGCTTCGATCACTTTTAAAGGAATTTTCTAGCCATATTCTATTGGAAACTCGCTTGAAGATTAATATTTTCGATCAAAAAAGTTTTGCTGAAGAGACTATATACCTAAAATTCAAAAAATCTTAAACCGAAAATTATTACTTTTTTTGGTGTGTTTATTTTTAAATTGCCGCTCTATGCCGCTCTTTCATAATCTGCTGAATATTTCTTGTAATTATTATTTTTTTTTGTGTTGCACAGAGTTATTACTATTATAAATATTGTTATTATTATTATTGAAAACAACATGAATTTATTAATTTCTATTATTATTATTATTATTGTTATTTTAATATTTATTTTATCATTACTATTGCTATTTTTTTATTTTTCAATTTTTATAATCATCATTTCTATTATAATGTTTTTATTATTATTTTAATAAATGTTTATATTTGTGGACAGTTAATAAAATCGTAAACTTGATCACAACCTAACTTAAATTTATATCTACACTAATATTACAATATGTAGGAACATAATAATAACATATCCTATCTACATTAACAAATTCTACATAAACAGAAGTATTTCAAGGAAGAATTCCGATTAAAAAACTAAAACTTTTTGTTTGGACAAAAACATGTAATTGTATGGCTTAAAATAAATTACTACAAATATCGAAATCTTATCGAGATAGATTCAACGATTATTACATTTTCCTAATTGTCAGTATTTTATATTTATACGAGCATAAATGATATAAACCAATTGATATTGCCCAAAATAGTCCTCATAGGCCAAGAGATAAAATTCGATTCAAAATTGAGAAATTATTTAGACAGGCCAGTTGAAAGACTGCTACTCATATAATTTTCCTCGAAGTTATACCAAATAAATGACGTCACCTTTTGTGAAACTTTAAGAGAGAGCGATATAGAATTGTGTCGTTTGACTCTAATAGAGGTTTTTTAGGGTTGCATAAATTAAATTGTTCCACCGGTCCGTTTCTTTTTGTATGAAAACTAAAAACTGGGGATTCACAGAATGAAATTTAAGTGAATTGAAGGTAAATTCGAAGGTTCTATTTAACCTGAATAGCTATTAAAATCCAAAGCATACCATCATATAAAATTTCAATGGCATCTGGTCGCCAACGCGTCTCTAATTCCTCAAATATTCATTAAAACTACGATGTTTAGAATTAAAATTGCTCTACTGAATTGAGCTTTAGACTTTTTTATTTGATATCCATAGAACATTTGGGATAAGCCTTAAGCAGCGACATTCACTGATTTTAGTTATTTTTATGTCCTTGTTACAATTTAGAATAGCCCCTATATAGTTCTCAAAGGAATACGATACATTTTAGAAATTTGGGTTCGAGACTCTTCGAATATTTCATACCCTGCACAAGCAGTGCTAATATACCTGAAATGTTTGGTTTGAAAATGGAATATATTAACTTATTTTTCCAACCACAACAGCCGTAACTAAAAATTGTAGGTCCACATTTTAGGAAATATGGAGACCAAATCAACTGTAATTTGACGTTTCGGGTTTCGTTAGTTAATTTAACTCTCTGTCTGCATTTTCGCATTCGAAATAAATCTTGAAAATCCTTTGCCTTATATGCGGGTATTATGAATTCTGAAAATGATATCAATATTCGCTACTACCCTAAGATTGTTATAAATATTGCGATGAACAAAATTGGGACCATATCGACCATATATGACCATATATGTTTGAGAGTCTACCTAGATAGTCATTAGTCTATCTATTCACAATATTCCATTCACCAAATATTGAAAAATTAGCTCGGGGTAAAGCCATTGAAACTCCAAAAAAGTGCAAGAACTAACACCGCAACAGAAAGAAAATAGACTCAAGAGAGCTAAAGAGTTGCTTCGCTTGGCCGAAAGTGGTGAACTGCCGAATTTGTTTTTCTCCGATGAGAAAACATTCGTTGTCCAGCTGTTTTTAAACAAACAAAATGATCGTGTTTACTTTCCAAAGAAGAGTTCAGAACACAAGTGCCGGCCGAACAAATCTAAACTTATTCTAAAATTGAATGCTATTTCCGACATTTTTTGCTTTCATTCAATAAAATTTTAAAAATAATGTAAACATTATGGCGTTTTTTTATCTCACATTGTTTAATAATAAGAATTTTGAACAGCCCACAGGTATAATTAGTTTTAATAAATGAAAATCAAAAATCTAATTCAAATATAAAATCATATATACATACAAAAAGTCTATAAAATTTAACATTTTTATATTGTCTAATAAATACAAATATTTATATATCGAGTCAAAACCTACATTTGTGATGGAGTAACTGTCATCGGATTTATTTGGTAGAATTTTCATTTATTTATTTTTTTTTTTTTTGGAAATTTAATCAGAGTATCAAATATTATCTTTATTTAGATTAAAGTCCAATGGTTACCAGCGGACCCCATCACTAATGCCACGTGAAAACTTTATTTAATACTAAAAAATAATATATATATAACAACTCTATTCACTGTTCTAATTGGTTAAAAAAATCTTTTTTATTTCAGTACAGTTACCAAATTAAATGAGATCTCGCTATTGTGAAAATACTATTGTAACGAAATACCTTTCTTTCACTCATCATTAGATTCTGAAACTGAGCAGGATTTTTTTAAGTATTTTAAATTTCATTCTTTTTGCTTTCTCTGTCTGTTAGCTTTATGTTTGTTTTGTTTCCTTTAAAAAAAAATTAGCACATAACAACAAACAAAAAGTCCTCCTGTAAATGAATGTCTTTGCGTTAGAAGCGTTAGAAGGAAGTAATGTAATAGTCGCGATGATGGTGTTGGTGATACTGTCCAAAGTCCAAAACAGAAAAAAAACTGGAAATACGAAAATCCCTCCCAAAAAAAAAAGAAATGAGTCCAGCCAGTCTATTATAAAGAAATGTCCTGTTTCTGGGTTGGTACGTTGTGGTTTATTTGATACGTTCATTTAGTCTTAGCTGGTCCTTTGGATTTGTTTGGTCCCCAGGTTTGGTTTTTGTTCTAATTATACATAGAATATTTTCGTTTTTTTTTTTTTTTTTTTTTTTTTTTTTTTTTTTTTGTTTTGTTATCAAGCATGCAACACAAACAAAAAGGGTAGTGTACAACGGGAAACAAAAACAAAACAAAACTGAAGGCAACGTGATAAATGAAAACTGAAAAAAGGAATAAAAACAACGTACTATGGCCGGCCTAAGGAGCACCCAAACACCCACTTTTGCCATTTGTGCTTTAATGCCTTTAGCTTGAAGAGATTTAACGGCATTCTCAGCATATGCCGGTGATTCGAAATCTACAAAGCCGTAACCTGAAAATAAGTACCAAAAAAAAAAAAAAAAAGAGAAGAAGAAGAAGAAAAAAAGGACAAATCCACAAAACAATGAAGAAGAAGAAAAAAATAGTATCAGAAATATGTGAGAGATAAGTTTCGGTTTTTTTTTTTCGAAATATTTTTTTGTGGTTTTGTTGTTGGTTGGAGTAAAACAAACAAAGAAAAAATAACAAAGTTTCATTATGAATCTTTATGAGAAGATAAAAATTACGTTAATGATAAAACAAAGTTAAAACCCGGCAACGAAAAACTCCCATGGCAGCAGCACGTTCTCAACTTACCTTTACATTTTTTTGTTGTCTTATCAAATATAGCTTTGGCCGAAACTATAGTACCATACCTGCAAGAAGAAAGACCAAAGAAAAAGAAACACCGATAAAAAGAAAGTTAAATCACTGGCAATAATGACAATTCATGTAAGCATTTAAGCAAAGATATAAAAGCGTTTGAACGCAAAAATAAAAGTTTTTTCTAATCTCAAGTACTTCAGTTTTGGGGGGTGGGTAATTGGCTTTATGAAATATGTATAAGAAAACTTGTCGGGAATATGGAAAAAAACCTCTAACATGAAGATAACTTAAAACTTGTAAGGAAAAAAACTTGGCCTGAAGACATTGAGATCTAGGTGAAAATTTTAAATAACTGACCAAAAATGTGACGAAATTATTAAAAACTTCTGAACACTGTCGCTTCACTTTCCCAAATTCAAAATATCCTTATTACACTAGACCAAGAGCGGAGATAAGAAATATAGGTCCACTGCTTCTGTTTCCTATACACAAATCGAACCATTTTCCAAAAAATGTAAGGGAAGGAAATGGAAGGATGAAACTAAAGGGAATGATATTAAATTTGGTTGGGCTATTTATTTCGGACATAGGTTAGGTAAGGAAATCGTCAGGAGGGGTTCACTATTCCTCAAATTCATTTTAAAATGCGTAGTAAAAATTACTCAATGGTACTAAAATGGTATTTGGGGAAGAATAGGGTTAACAATTTAAAATTTTGTATTTGTGTGTAATTGAGTTTATATATGCAGGATTTGTATATGGATTTGACAATATATACTAAAAAGTACCAAACGTACGAAACTATGTTCAATTTTGTGTTTGGGAAAGGGAAAAGCTAGAAATCTAAAATTTGGAAAGGGTTTTAGAAAATTAGAATAATAATTGATTCAAAAGTACTAAAATGTACTAAATTTGGTACCTTGTGGAAATATCCGACCTGATATAGGTCATTCTTGAAATTTGGTATGAATGAGGATTTTGGAGGAGTTATAGAAAATGTGTACTACTTTTAAAAACTGTACTTAATGGTACCAATCTTACTAAAATGCATTAAATTTGGTACCATGATGATATATGCGACCGAATGGAGGTTATATTTGAAATTTGGAATGAGAATAAAGTTTGGGAAGCAAAATTCTGGTATTGGGGTCACTACTGGTCAGTAGGGTTGGGATAAAGAGTTGGCGTTGGAAATGTGCCAAACGTACGAAAAGTACTAAAAGTTACTATATATAGTACGATTTGCATTGGGCGAACGGGATGAGCTTGGTACAATAATGATAAGTGCGTGGGGGTCACTTTTAAAGATGGTGAAAGGGAAAGTAGCTTGAGTTTTGAAATAGCGAATATCCCACATGGTATTAATTTCGATAAATTCAAGCTCTTTTCCTACCTTTAAAATAAACTTATATCACTTTGCATATCCCTTTCAATAGCCCAACACTATTTCAAAGTTTATTCAAGCTTTCTTACAAATCGCTCAATTTGTACTTTTTATTCGTATATTTTAAATTTAAGTCCTAATTGTTCGTTCTTTTATTTAATTTTAATATATTTGGTATCTCACCTTAGAGCAGTCCTATTTCCAGATTTTTTTTTATTTGATTGGCACAAAATCTACTTTTCAGAATGTGATCGAACAATAGCAATGTTGCACCATATTGTACCTTTTAGTACAAAAAATTTCGCATGAATAGGATGGTAGAAGGTATAAAAAGGCACAAAAAGGTATGGTTATCAAGCGAGAGTTTTGAAATTTCTTTCGTGTTACGAGAGAATAAATAATGCTTAAAGGTACAGCATTTAATAGGCTAGGAAAAAGCTAAAACCTTGAACGAGAGTCGCTCGTGGTGAGAGGGGGTGTAAAAATCCGGATTTTTTAAATTCTCCTCAAGGGTATGACATGTACAAAATTAAAGGTTCAACAAATGCTAAAACTGTTTAAGTTTGAATAAGAGTTAAGTTAAGGGGGGATTTTTAAATTTCTACGTTAAGGATACAAAAAACGTACTAACTGGTACAACATTATTACTGATTTGCATAAGGGCCACTCTTGGATGATATAACGCGGTATTTTCGGATATTCGAAGTGACTCCACGCATATATCGATATGGTATCCACATTTGATGCATTTTTAGAAAAGTGCAAAAAGGTAGAAAATGATCCATTTGACATTTTTACAACAGACTGAGGTTTGATGGAATTTTTGGTAATTTTTTTTTATTGAAGAAAATAGTTATTGAACGACGGATAAGTTCTTAAAATTTGAAATTTTGCACAAAAAATACCAATATTAATTTTGTCTTTGTAACTCCTCGAAATACTCATAATAGACCGTACAAATTATATATCAGCGTAAAATTCTAAGTCGATTTAGCGAGATCCGTCTGTCTGTCTGTTGTTATCACGCTATCTTTTGAACGAATTCAGATAGAGGACTAAAAATTTGCACACGTGTGTTATTTTTTTCAGTAGGCAGGTTAAGTTCGTAAATGGGGCATGTCGGTCCATGTTTTGGTATAGCCCTCATTTTTTCCGTAATTTGATAATATTAGCGGCAATATTCACCAGATATTTTTTTAAATTTCGTATTTGAAGTTTGTAATTGGTACTATAACTTATGACAGAAAATAGTCTATGCTGGTCTACGTCTTCGTATAGCCCACATATAACGGTACCTCACCTTTTTCGGTATTTTGATGTTTGAATTGACTTAAATATCGCATTTGAAGGTCCTAATGGATACCACAGCCTATCCTCATCTTCGTACCGCTCCCATATAACGGTTTTCATTTAAACGATATTTTTTGATGAATTTCTTAAGTGTTTCCAGTTCGTTCCCAATGGTGTATGGTATTAAAAAATTTCAAAAAATAAAGGTATTGAATTTCAGAATTCTTGCTCTAGTAAAGAAATATTTAGTATTTTCTTAGTACAGATTTTCACATGCAACATGCATGGTAAATCAAGTGTCAAATTTTGCAATGAAAGCTCTTAAAATTAACAATTTAATTTTCAGTATTTTTTTGGAATTTCGAAAAAAGACCTCGGGTTATATTCCTTCCAGTAAAATTTGAAGGTCCTATAACCAAAAAAAAAAAACTTAAATGGGGTATCAAATTTCAGAATTCGTTTTCTCGTAGTACAATCTTTAGTACTTTTTAGTAAAATTTCCGAATTTCAAAAAAGCAAGTAATGCTGATATAAAATTGTCTTCATTCGCTCCGTTTAAATTCCTGTTAAAAAAATTCCTGTCTAAAAAATCAGTTATCAAGTAGTGATAAGATGGTAGGTTTTTTCTGATTGATTATCTCTGATTTTTAAAATAAAAAACTTTTATAATATTTCAGTAATATTTTCGAATTTTGAGAAAGAATTCCGCATAATTCATCATAATCTGATTTCGAATTGAAAATACAGTGAACGACACATTAATCAGTGATTCATCTTTGACAGTTTATATACATGTATATTATGTTACACCAAATATGCCTGTTTCTTATGAGCAAATGTTTCCTCGTAAATCGTTTGCCAAACTTTTGCCCCCGACCCACAAATCAAAGTGCAGATATCGCAATATTATCTTTTGGCAAAAAAATCACTGCTACTTACTCTGAACATAAAATAACTAAATCTTTATCGGTCGTTCCCTCGGGCAAGCCGCGTATGTAGACGTTTGTTTTCGACAGCTGATCTGAACCGGCTTGTTGGTATTGCTGTTGCTGCTGTTGTTGTTGTTGTTGATGCTGCTGCTGCTGTTGCTGAGGTTGTTGCTGATGCGGCTGTTGGTGTGGATGATGCAGATGCTGTTGTTGCGTATCAGTCGTTACCTGTGGCTGTTGTAGATGTTGCTGATATTGCTGGAGCTGAGCTGGTGGTGGCTGTGTGCCATTCAATGTGGTGGGACCCATCGTTGCTGCTGTTGTGTTGTTGCTGTGATGGTTGTTGTTGTTGTTGCTGGGATGCTGATGATGTTGCGGTTGATAGTGGTGTTGTTGTTGCTGTTGTAAATGGGGATGATGCGTTGTTATTGAATGTTTATTCTTAATCGAATTTTGACCCAGACCAGTTGTTGCTGCTGCTGCTCCAGTTGCTGATGAGGGAGTTGTTGTTGTTATTGTGGCACCGGTAACTATGGGATTGTTTGTATTCAAGACCTGATTTGTATTTGCAGTAGTAAATGATGATTGTTGTTGCTGTTGTGGACTGAAATTCTGTTGATTCGTTAGCAATGCTGTTGCTGGATGCCTGGTGTTGTTGTTTTGGTTTTGATTGTTGTTATATCCCGTTGGATTAGTAAATGTTGAATGCTGCTGAAAGCAAAAAGAGAGAGAAAGAGAGAAGAAAACAATGAAAATCAATTGAATATATTTTTGCTTGCGTTTTCGTTTTTTCGTAATGGCTACGCCTAGACAGAAAGAATATGGAGAAGGGTCAAATAACTTTTAATGAGTTTCAATTACTTATTTCTGCTTTTCCCCATCTATTTTTCGATATTTTTGCGGTGTGTGTATTACTTTAGTAAATAAATGAGCTGCAAAGTTGCAAGGGCCAAAATTCCAAATAAAATGTTTTCTATTTGTATTGAGTAAAATTAATATTGCGGATATAGTAGAAATATTTCCAGAATTTTACTGGAAAATGATATTGGAATGGTTACCTGCAATATGACGCAACCGATGTTCACTTTAGATCTATGAACGTCAAACGTTAATCTAATCGATTACGTTTCTAATAGTTTTTAATCAAAATATATAATTGTAGACTTATGCACTTTTTTATCGTTGTCGGTATTAGGTCATTTTGAGTCGATCAACACATGATTTTTCTTTCCACAAAATTCTACAAATTTATATCAAAATTATAGATATATAGATAGGCTATATTTGCAGTTTAATCTAGTTTAAATCTCCGATTTATTTTTTAAGCATATGATGCTCATTTGGGCAAAGGGCTGAAAGTGTGATGTATTAGTTCACACCACTGATGTTACCTGGGCGGACAGGAGTTCTTCTCCAAATTATATTTTTTAAATCAGCTCATATTTTTCCAACGTTTTGAAAAGACATTTCTGGCAAAGTCAGTAAGGCACTCTATATTCTGCCATACCAAGGGTAACATTTTTTTTGTAATATATCAAAAAGTTTAGAAACTGCCCAAAAAAGTAGATTCGAACTAAAAAGGTACTAAAAACACTAAATAGTACCAAATGCTGTGTCTTGGAATTTAGCGGGTAAAGATAGAACTTTGAAATCTTCCATGTTGAGGTGGGCGATGGAAATGGCTGTTTTTATACCCTCAGCCACATGGCAAGAGAGGGTATATAACATTTAATACGGTCAAAACGTGCCTAGTCGAAATAACAGTTTTAGACCCTAGGCATCTGCGGACCAAATCCGTTTCAGGACATTTGGAGTCGATCTAGCGATGTCCGTCCCTCCGTCTGTCTGTCTGGCTGGTGCGCACGATAACTTTCAAAGGGAGTATCCGATTTTGTCCAAACTTGGTACTTCGTAATATTTTTGTCAAACTTAGATCCAGTTCGGAGATGGGCAATATTGATCCACTCCTTCTGGTACCTCCCCCACGGAAGGTCGAAATTTTCAAAAAATGTATTTTCAGCACAGAAAGGGAAACGATTATCCGATTTTGCTTTAACTTTTCAAATTTTAATATTTGCGTCAGTTCTATGTCAGGTGCAAAAAATGCATAATATCGGTCCACTCTATCAAGTTCCTCACCCACGAGGAGTCAACATTTTGAATAATTACAACTTTTATAAAATGTGATGTTAGAATCCCATTGTCTTCAAATTTTACAGATACCAATGTTTTTATTAACCCAAGGTCTGGAATATATCGGTCCACTCCTTCTGGTACCTCCCTCACACGTGGTCTAAATTTTATATACCTAATATGGTTGCCACACGTCCTAATATGGTTGCCAACGCAAGATCTGTTGTGAAGATGATATATATCTGCCAACCCCTACAAGTACCTCACCCTCAAAGGTTCACAATTTCCAATACCTATATCTGTCATATTTCCGAAACAAGTCGGCGAATCTTAGGTAAGATACGAATTGATTAAAACTGGCCAACTGCTTCGGAACCTCCTCCTTAAAGGGTCAACAGTTTAAAGAATCATAACACAAGGCTGGGTGTATACTTCTGTCGGCAAAATCGACAGATACTATTTTATTTGTTTTCGAACAAAATTGTATGTAAATGGAATGTTGGGTTAGTATGGGTTTTGGTATGTGTATGAAATTTTGAATAATGTACATTTTCTAACCGAATACAAATACAATTTTGGTGTTTCTTTTCTTTTACTTTAAAAAGACCAATTTTTATAATATTTTTTAATATATACTCTTGACACAAATCGAGAATCCTGTAAAGATCTCGAGATTAAAATTCTGGATTTTTATACTCTACAACACTATGTGTTGGGGGTATTATAAGTTTGATTAGGCCAAAAATTATGTAACACCACGAAATATTGGTTTCCCATATAGGAAAGTATATATGGATATCCTATCCGCCGAGCTGAGTCGATCTAGCTATGTATGTCCGTCCGTCCGTCTGTCCGTCTGTCCATGTTAATTTGTAATCACTCTACAGGTCGCAATTATGGACCGATCTTTACGAAATTTACAATGAAGGTGGTTCTAGAGTCAGAATAGAACCCTATTTCTTTTGGAGATGATCGCATACAATTTAGGGTTTGAAATGTATCAAAAGCTTTAAAAAAATCTTGATTTTGCAGTTGCTCTACAGGTCGCAATTATAGACCAATGAAAGCGGAAGTTAGCATGGGGCTAGAGCTTAGGGCTGGGTAGAAGCCTTCCAATTTTGATGGTCATCGGGTAATATTTAATATTTTTGTTAAACAAAAGTCAAATTTTCCATTAAACCGCGAACATTTTTAATCCCGGCGAAATCACAAATAGACGAGCAGGTCAATTCTGACCGTTACGTAGATGACGATAGTAAATATATCGGTTATATATAGCGAAATATATACAATGTGTATATACAAAGGAAGGGGATGTTAGTTAGAATGATTATATCTGAAGAATGGCTGGACCGATTTTGACAAATGTTGTCAATTCAGAATGCTCTCTTGACATAGAAGTATAAAATCTAAAAAAATCTCAGAAAAATATGCCAATAATGAGGTTAATATAGATTTTGTAGTATTTTGTGATATTTTTTTATTTTTTCATATTTTTTATCGCATGCGATTTTTTCAATTTGACTTATAATATATTGTTATATTTTTTCACCTTACAACACAGGTTGGGGATATTATATAAGTATTGCAAATATCGTCCAATCCTCACGAAAATTTTCTTAAGTGTAGGGTTGGGCTCAGAAGGGCTAGGCCTATTGTTTTCAAAGACGTCCGCAATATATTATGGGTTGAAATGGACCAACAACTAAAATTTTTTCTAATTTTGCAGCCGTTATAAAGGTCACAAATAGAAACCAAAGGACACGAAATCTCGCATAAAGTTAGAGTTTAGGACAGCGGGTAGAATGAACCACTAATTTTGCGTGAAAAAATACCAGCATTACTTTCAGGCGATATCCGAAATACACAAAAGACGAACTTCTGGCTTTTTTCTGCTGATTTCGTTGACGAATATAGCCAAATATCGTAGACAAGCAAATCATATAGATGAGTCTAAGTTTGGAGATACTGAGGGGCTTCTTGCATCTGGAGATGATTGCAAAATATTTAGGGGTTCAAATTAACCAAAAACAGAAATGTTTTTCCGATCACACAATTAAAGCGAATCGACACCCCTGTGAAGAGAGTTAAGGACAGGGAATAATTCTAGCATTTTGGATGATCATTGGATTATATTTAGCTGTAAAATGAACCACAACAACTAACAGCCCGACGGAGTGCATAAATATTGAGCAAATGTCCCTAGTCAAAATCCTAATTTCAAAAGCGAAATCTTCCAATATGGATTTGGACATAGGGGGGCTTCTAACATATTGTAGTGTTGTAGGGTATAAGATAGACGGCTCCGCACGACTGTAGCCTTTGCTTACTTGTTAGTTATAAAAATTTAAAAATTTCCTGGCCAATAGAATTTGATGTCATTAAAAAAAAACTTCTGGATAAAAATCGACCTCCTAACAAAAACCATGGATTTTTTATGACATTTCTTTTTCAAAGACCTCTTGACAAAAAACGGGAACTTGTCATAATTATTTTAAGATTTTCTGACAAATACATTGGCCACCATCGAATTTAAGTCCTAGAAACCAGCAACAACCATCTCCATATCTCAACTGCAGATACCAACAGAGACCTCAAAATCAGATTTTACGATTTCAGCTTTGTTCCTACAAACAATACAAATTTAGAACTAGTGCTTTTCGATATACAATTCTACAGGTCCAATATTGATATTAGAAGATTGCAGGGTCCTTGTAAACAATAAAGAAATCTTGGTCAAATATAGGCACACATGGAAAACTTAAGAGGGGTACTATATGAACATGTATAAGGCAATCTTCATAAAAATTAGAAATCTCCCCTTGCCGGACTTTAGTCTTTCAAGCCTTTAAAATTTAATGACAGCAATTTACAAACATGTTTGTAAAAATATGTTGTTTGCGGTACTTATAAACTCATGTTTACATATATTCCCGTTTTGTTGCCATTGTTGTTGCTGCTGTTGTTGAACTTTTACTCGCCGGGACACTTTATTAAATATTAGTGAACATCCTTTCATTATGTTATGTACTTAAGTGAGGATACGCTCACATAAGTTACAAAACTTTATGTTAATTAGCGTTTTTTTTTTTATTATTGTTTGGTTATTTTTCGCTGACAATAATACGGAGGTGGGTATGGGAATTTTGGGCAAAAATTATTTTTTACAGGAAAATAATAAAAATTATTATTATATTATAAATTATTTTATATTTTCAGTAAATCTACAACAATTTTTTGAAATCAGCCTTTTGCCAAATGTATTTTATAGATATACCATAACATTTTCTATTGCAATAACATTAAATGTAATTAGTATTCATAAAATATTGCTTTAAAGCTACATTTATTTATTAATATTAGAGTATAAACATATCAAAAAATATTCATTTTTAAATGACACGTGCTGTCGAGATAAATGGATAATTGATTTTCATGGCAAAGATTATCTCAATTTCCTTCATTTAATATTCTTTTAATAATTACCCAGGCAATAGCGTTTTGAACAATTTCGTTCATTCACAAAATCCCGATAAGCGATATTTGTTGTGTCGATTAATCACATTTCACCTGAATTA